AATTTCAAACATTTTACCATGACACTTAAGATAGATCATTTAAACAAAGAGATCATTCAAACAAAGACATATGTTTGTTGAAACTCACTGAGGCGTGACGATTTTAAACTTCACCTAGAAGTTCAATTTGAAACCATTCAAAATGTAGATGGGCACAGACTTCTTGATATTGGTAAACAAACTTACCAGTAAGAGAAACAGTAACTTGTGATCATTGAACAAGCGAATCAAAGTTTAAGTAACAAACTAATTCATGTGTTTAATTGCATCATAAAAACATCGCATAGTCTATTCTGGTTCCCTGCATTCATACTTAGGAAATTTGTTTAGGGGAAAGAACTCCTAACTACTTGTAGTATACATGTATATCAAGATTGAAATGTCCGGGCAGTTATAACCCGTTTCAGAGTTAAAGCAAACAACTTTTCTTTTAATGCGTTTATTTAAGGTCGCCGCCGGAAAGCCCATGTGGGCGACCGTACACTCAAGTCGGGCCACCCTAGAGCGACCCGCCGAGATTTTTCGTCGATATTTTTCCAGCTTTATTGGTGGAGGAAGACCCCAGGCTGGGTAGAACCACTGACCTTCCGTAAGCCAGCTGGATGGCTTCCTCACATGAAAGATTTTGACCCGAGTGAGGATCGAACCTACAGCGGTGAGGGACATGTGATCTCATGTTAGCGACCTTAACCACTCGGCCACGGAGGCCCCTCAAAAGCAAACAACGTACTGTTGTTAGTGTTTTAATATGTCTGTGTACATGTAGCACGTATTATTGACCATGGGTTTTCATTGATAACTAGTTTTGTGTGCACACCGATGGATATCAGAAAGTAATGATGACTCTGTATCAGCAACAGTTTTTGCTCTGGAATTTTACTAAGCCATTATTTATAAATAGTTTTTTTTCAAAATAAGTCTGCTTCCGGACCCTCTACTTGTACTACCCTTTTCTATAAATTTAGTGTTGCCCTAGAAGGAATTTTGGTAGGCTTAACTTGTATAATGAATATTTGATCAATCTGGAACTACAATGTATGTATTTATTTTCTGAGAAGGATAATAAATTAAAGCGCTTGTGTATTTATGTAGACGGACTATTGTCAGGTTTGACAATAAGCGAAGCATAGGGTCCAAATTATGGTAGTCATTGGAGTATCGTCTTGGGTCCGAGAACCCCAACACATAAAAGCCTTGTTGGGGTTCCTTCTAAAAGGAAATATTCTTATACCCCTTTATGTAAATATCAACGTTTAATCATCTACAAACAAATAATAAATAGATAAAAGTTCTCATTAAAACAATATTCAAAAGTGATTATATTTATCTTACAATACTATAAATATATATCTTAACAGACATGATGAAAATGTCACTTTTTAAAGTAATACCGCTATTTTATATAGACAATATTTATTTTTAGCCATTTATCCTGAATTCTTTCACTACCATACCAGGTTGTTCATACTGTAACCTGTTTTCAAAATAACGGTTTAATTAAGCATTGTTTTATAATTTGTAAAACACTAAAGTTTACAATGAAAAGACAACGATTCTCTTAGAGTTGAATATGCCAAGTATAGGTTGATCAACAAGCATTTATGAGAGGATATGGTGTTTGGTTATGTTTTTTTTATAAAAAGAAATTCATTGTTTCATATTAACAAACACAGTTAGCTACATTAATGTAATGTTGCAATCTAAAACACATTACTTAATCATTTAAGGTTGTGGGCTTTAACTTTGGTATGGAAAATAGAAATTCCTTGGCTATAGAGTCCGATTTAAAAACAACAAGAATGAAATAGATAACGCTTCCGAATTAAGAAGAACAAATAACCTATGCAACTTGCAGTTGTCATAATTAGTAATAAGAAATATAAATAAAAGTAAGGATACAGACAATTGATGCAATAAATTATACATTAAAGACAATAGCAAAACTTGAATGTGATATTTTACAAAAGTAATATTTAAAGAGGAAAGTGTACATATTTACGGTAAAATCACACGTCAGTATCTTAATTTGTATATTTTTTATGCATAAATTATGGACCAAAGGATGCTTAATTTCTCTTTCAGTTTGAAGAGTCCTTAAATACATTAATTTATAATGTTCGCTGGCTATTCAGTCTAAGATTGTTTTGATTTTCCGGTCAGAAAGTGGAAGTCACGTGTTACTTCCATGCGTCTTTTACGTTGATAAGATTTAAAATCACGTTTGAGTATGTATCCTTCTCTAAAGTATTTTGATATCTCAAGATCTGTTTTCCCTGACGTATTCCTGTCGCAATTTTGTAAAGTTTAAATCTTTAAGGAGAACATTATAATGAGTAGTTTCACAAACAGTGTTGACTATTTGTGAATGTATTTAACAGGTTTCGTATGTTCTTTGCGACAATTTTAAGGAGAGTATTATACGTATCTATTGTAATATGCAGGACGATTTTGAAAAGGAAATCGTGTTTAAAGTGACATAAGCGTTTGGAGAGTGGTGTAAGGACAATCAATGTACCAATCCAGAGGTTATGTATGTCCTTAAAAGTAATGGATTCAAAAAAGTACACAAATGATTAACAGAAACTGTCGTTTACATCCTCTGCGCGAGTAACATAACATTTTATTGCAGCAAAATCATATTTACATCAATATCCACCTCTCAAATTCCTTCCCCTTTTCTTAATTAAAGAATATTATCATTAAGCTTTGTAAAGAAAGTACAGAATATACGGTGCATTTTTTTTAAAAATAAAAGTAGTTTTTTCATTATGCTTACACCGGAATGATTACCAATGAGTCTATTTGCCACTCGTCTCTTACAACATATGATATAATTACTCGGACAAATTAGTAATTACTTGTAATAATAATTATTATATAATCAATTGTATGTTTATGCAGGTACTTTGAATTTAACCGATTTAAACCGGGAAGTATAATTAGATAGAATACCACGAAATAAAAACATGCAGGTGATTCACAAAGAGATAGTAGTATTTACTTAAATATCTATAACTAGTTCAACCACAAGTTATTATAAGTTTGTATGTGCAGCACGTAGGGCATATTTTTAGGGTTTACAATTATATTTTTTGCATAATTAAGCAACGTTACGCTTAAACGTCTGAACAAAATCACTAATAAATAGGATCTTCAGTTTAAAAATTGGGACGTTTTTCAAACTTGGCCCATCAAGCTTTAACAATGCAATTGGTCCTATTACTTTTAAATGTTTTTAAGTTTCGTGTCCTGTCAAAATATCAAAAACGATATTTATTGACAATTATAATATCAGAATAATCTTCTGCTTTTTTACGTTTTGGCAATATGTAAGTTTAATTAATGTGACTTATCACCTACCTGCGCCGCCTTTGCGATCCGTGAACATGACATTGCACGGCCGTGCATATATTTTGACGCGGCGTCACTTTCATTATATAAATAGCGTTATGTTAGCGTTATACATTAGGCGAGCTAATAAAAATGGTCTTTTCAATTCAAACGATCTTTATTTTAGGTATGTGATAAATAGAATATTATATTCGTTTAAGTTCATGACTAAATTTATTCAACTCGTTCAATAAATTCAGTTCTTAAACTTACACTCATTCAATATCCTCTAATTAGTATTTTTATGAAAGTCAAAATTACGAAAACACTTAATTATTGACAGTTTTATTTACTAACTACACATGATCTGAAAAATTAAGTAGTGAACAAATAATAACTAATTTAAAGATTTTAATGAAATAAAATTTATTGCTCATAAACATCATGCAGAAGAGTGTTACTAAAGAAATTCCATTTGTATATGTGTACAGTATCAATAAAACATTTTTACAAACAAGAATGTTGATAAGGAAAATAAACAAAAGAGATTCTTGTTTCAAAAAACGCTCGGAAATCTACCTTGCAGCAATTAAAAATGGCAACGTTATTCATATTGCCGAGCTGGAGAGCCAATCAAATCATAATATCATAATAGCCGAGTTTTCTCATAAAGGCCGTACTTTTTTAAATAATGACATTGTTTTATGGTCATAATGTCGACGTGAACTTCATATAAATTGGGCGAAAAGGTGCCCAATGATGAAAAATTAATTAAAGATCCTGTAACACAATTTTTTATGGTTTTAAATCATAAATATGATGCTCAAATTAAGATTTATCAATATTGTAGGTTCCAAAAAGCATTATTTATAAAGCTATTACAGAATTTAACATTTCATGTAAATAAAGGGAGGTTATAATATTAAGTCAAATTTTACAATAAGAAATGAATGCATGTATTCTTATGATTACATATAATTTGCACAATTATTCGAGTACATGTTTTACATATTCTTAGATGTTTGAAAATTGTTTTATTTGCATAATAATGTACATATATATAATTTCACTTAATGTGGTAAACCACTTTGATCACAACATACAGGATACAAGTAACAATTCCATAATACAGTGCAATAAGTCTATTAAAAAGACAGTACGCTAAGTCTATAAGATTATCACAAACTAAAGTGCAATAAATATGTAATAATGTTATCCAGACACAAATTACTGCTATCACGCACCAAAATGCAATGCGTCTAACGTTTTCAGAAACTATCATGATAAAATATGTCAAATATAATCTGGCTGAAAAAGCAGGGTAAAAAAATTAACACGTCTCAGGCAGCACAGTGCAATAAACATTTTTAGTACTCGACAATGCAGTGCACACGCCTAGACTTTTATAGCAAACATTCTAACTTGAACAAAACTACATTTAATATACTTCTATAAAGTTAAATAATCTTGCAAGAAAAATGTTTAAAATGAATAAATATATCCATTGAATAGAAAGAATGAGCGGACAATCGCCATTTCTTTGTTATTTGAATTGTACTAATAAACGACCAAGATACAATACCACCACGATAATGCATGTTTTGGGCTTTAAATACTTCTTTGTATATGCATGACATGCATTTGCTGGTTTTAAATATTAGTTGTATAACATATTTTTTAAGCACAAAATCATTGTATGTTCAAGATTCTTTTACAAGATTACAGAACATTGAACGGAAAGATTATGTTCTCTTTTTATGCATAAAATATCTTAGGAATTAAGAAAGCAAAATTTGCAATAGAAGATAAATGTAAGTATTTTTAATGGCACTTAAATCATTTTCTTTTAAACTTATTTTAGAGGCTTTTCTATAGACAACATATACACTCGATAAATGACTCAATCTATCTATGGAGGTTACGAGGGGTGTTCAAGTATGAATGCAATTGGGTCAATTTCCAGTAGTGCTTAACAAAAAGTACCAACATAATTTTATCAATCCTACAAAATGCTCACTTCCATGTGATAAACAAAGTTTTAGTCTTAAATCCAATGTTTAAATGCGTTTTTCATAATATGTGCGAGGTATACTCTTCAGACACTGGGAAATAACCGACAAGATAATTTTTCGCGCCAGTCTTTGAAAAAGATAAAAGTCACAAGGGGCAAGATCTGGCGAACAAGGAGGGTAAGGAAGCTCAACAACCTTTATATGTTTCAAATATTCTCGTACAATGGTGCTTTGTGTGACGAAGCATTGTCATGCAACAACCTGACACCACGGATACTAGTTGCTGGTCGACAGTTTTTGAAATATTTCTTTAATCTATGAAGGACCTTGCCGTTCTTAAACTTTGTCATTTACAGATTTACACTTTGTTTCGGCAATTTGAATAGCAGGACCATTATTGATAAAGAAAATTACATACATGACATTTTTGTCGCTCATGGTGCGTTTTGCTATGTAAGGTACTTCCCTTGGTTGCTCATATTTTGTTATGTATCTTTCGCTTGGGCTCATAAAAGTGAACCCACGTCTCATGGCCAGTGACGATGTTTGCCAAAGATCAATTGTTATATTCAGGGAAATGTTTCAACGACTGTCTGGAGATTCTTACCGGAGCAAGTTTTTGCTCTTTTGTAAAGAGATGTGGTATCCGTCTGGCAGGCACTTATCCTTTTCATTTCTAGAACACGTCTGAGAATTTTATGATCGGCTCGTACAGAGATACCAACTCATTTCGCTATATACCTAGTTGTAAATCTTTCATCAGTAGCAATCAAATCCATAACCTTTGCAACCATTTATGGCGAACTTGCAGTATTTGGACGACGTGCATGAGGTGCATCTTTTACAGAATCCAAAACACTTATAAATTTCTTACACTACCATGTGACAAATGAAATAGAAAGTTCCAATATACACGATATACTTCATTAAATATGTCTTTCGCCTGTTAACTAAGAATACATCGGTTCTTTATAAAGGACTCATTTGGTCAGTGAAAGGAGACCTTTTCCCACATTTTTAGCTTTCGTATACACGAGCTATTGTCAAAGCAGCGAAACATGTACAAAGTTCGTGCAAAACGTGGTTAAAAGCGAGATATTGGCCTAGTTTCGTTCATATTTGACTACCCTCGTAGTCTCATGCTTACAAACATACATACATGCTCTGTTAGATTTTGCCTATTTATAGAGAAAGCTGCCATCCACATCCCTTGCATCGACTTGACTGTACAGAATTCAACCATACGAAAATAGTGTAAATATCCGGAGCTGTGTTCATTTGGCGGTAATCACGGAACATTCAATGTGACACTTCAATACCATTTCATAAATAGCGGTTTATGACCCCAAGTAAAAGAATACGTGTACCCTAAACAATGTGTGGAACTAAATATAATATAATTTAGAAAGGGGTTCAGAGGTTATGAAGCCTGTAGTAACATCTACCTGCAAAAATATGGACATGATAGTTTAGGTAAAAAGTTTCGGGCATCTTGTACAGATATACATTAATACCCCTAGTATTTGTATACGACATATAGTACTGCATGATCATGATAAGTCATTATAAAACACCACTGACAAATATTCCTGATTTGATAATGAAACATGAAAAATGCACAACACAACTTAAACGTTACCAACTTTATTACACTGTTGAAAAATCTAGCATTCCATTGGTAAGATTTTACATTGAGCAAATTTGAGGGAATTATACATGTATTTTAAAACGTTTATGAAGATACAAGTGAAAATAAATAATGCAAACTGAAGTATTCTGTCAATGAAAACTAAACAAAAATGAAAACTGAAAAATGAAACGACTACCGTTGTTCTTAAATCGATACTCTAGGTTTCAAATGTCACAAAATTAATTTATTCGGTTGCAAAGCAGTCGAGTCTTATCTGATTTTAAAAAAGATGCATAGGATTGACAGCGGAATAACAATATTTATTTTGGAGCGTCAATAAAACACAAGTATATAAAAACATTCACATACATCAGCTTCACACTTTTAAAGTTTCTGGCTTTGTTGCATTACACATTTTTATTAACATTTTTATTTCAAATGGAAAGACAATGTTTTCTTATCTCCGTGTACATACTGGACTGTCTGTTGTTTACCAAGATTTCATATCGTGGAACGAGGCTAAAATTAATACATGCGTGAACACGTTGTCTCCATTTGGATCAAACGCATCGGTTAGAGCTGTTGCATTGCAATGTAATAAAAAACATCTGACTTTTTCAATCTATTTGTTGACTTTTGGATACAAGGAAGTTCATTTTGAAGAAATTTATCTTTTAAAGTTTAGTATTTTTCTTTTTAGAAGATATTGATAGTGCTGTGCGGACATAGTTCTGGTTTCAAAAAAATTAAATGGCCGCCTTTTATATAGTTAAGTGATGTGTGCTGTTTTATTTTGGTTAGATTTTGTAAAGGCTCTGACTCCTTTATGTCTTATTTACTACGTTTACGCTCAAAATTAATAATTTATCGTAGGTCATTTGCTTATTAAAAGTTTATACATCGTTTAATCGGGATATAATTAATTAATGTCCAAGTCATTATGATAAACTATTACAAGCAATACTGTCTATATTTAAATAAGACACATGGTACGTCACGACACTGACTGAAGCGTACCCGTCTTGTCACATTATAAAACGAGTACTACTAAACAGTACAAACGTAATGGGTTTCTTTGTGTCATAACGCTTCCCCTTTAATTTCAACAACTGCCCAGATCTATACAGACATTCGTCTAGGTAGCATTTTATTTGGCTGTTCTAAAAGTATGCAGCTCACAGCTGACCATTCCTTCACAGCCATTATACGTGTGCGTAAAGCCTGTTGGATATGCTAATGTAAAGAACCGGATGAGTATGCTTCAAAGAGTTTTCAATTAATTTGTCACAGTAAATTGGTATGCTAATCAGTCACACTTACTACAGGCGATTATGCAAACCTGAATACCTTTATCTTTTCAAGCATTTTTCCGCAACTTAATAAAGCACTTTTGATAGCAGAGGTATTTTGTTATATTACATGAATGTATTATTTCGGTGAGCGAGTATAATATTTCAGATTTGTTTGAATAATGTTAATTATGATAGATGAAATGTTTCTGTTACCTGTCTTATTTATTTCCGTTTGTTTATTTTATTAATTTTTTTGGCATTTACAACCTTTAGATATCTTTACGATTTTCAAACTGTTTGGCCAAAGGGTACATCTTTTACTTTTTTGACACAATTTGTAAAAGCACATTTAAACATGATAGAATATTATAGGCATAGACCGGAAATAAATATGCACTGAACTGTACTTAAATGATGTAATTGAAAGATATGGTTCGTGAAAATGCACTTATAGCATTACTACAAACCAAAGCAAATGTAAGCTTAAAATAAAGTTATCTTACCAGACATTTCAACAAGGACGCAGAAAGAAACTTATAACAATAATTATTATTACTCATATCAATATCATATAAACATTTAAGCTTACAATTGTATTATATTCATCTTTTTTTAGCTTCATTTGCTATTGAAACTGGCGACAACCAAAATGGCATTTTCGTAACAAAACCAACAAACACAAAACAGAACATAGAGCAGATTTGCAAGAATAAGCAAATATATAGCAAACAGAGAAGAAAGCGCAACTATTTGAATTTTACATAATATTGTTAGAAAATAATATTTCTTGGTACATGTTTTATAATTCATGGTATTGTTATATTCTTTTGGCCCTTTAGCATTGCTGATGCCAGCACAATAAGTGTTGAAGATTGAATACCATCTGTCGCTGCTAGAGGGCGTGATGGACGCTGCACATTTTCATTGTTCCTCATAAACAGACTCACCAAACTGAATCTGCAATTTTTATGTAAGTTTGTTTATTTCCTTGCTTTTTTTGAATTTATTCATTATTTATAGAGTTATTGTATTGACTTTGTAAATATTTGCAGCTTTCAACGTGTCACACGCATATCACCGAGGGTCAAGAAATGTTACAGAAATTTGGTCACATGTGTTGTAGTGCACCTTGTATTTTGCGCGTATTTTTATTCAGAATTTGTAGAGTAATTGCCCTTGACTTTTTGTGTCACGTGACGTCTAAAAGTGTTTGAGATAGAGTCATCAAATTTACATAAATGTTGATGTGCATGTAAAATTGTGTAACTGTGGTTTTGTGTGTGGATTATTTCAGTTTTGTTAGTGTCATTGCACTTGTCTTAGTGAAAGTTTACAATTTTCAACTTTTGTCGCGCTTAGCCACAAAAGTGCTGGACGTTGGGTAATGAAACTGTTCGGGAATGTGAGTCAGCATGTGTAGTTGTGCACCAGAAGCTAGTTTATTGAATGTTAATGTCTCTACTGGGGTACCCACTAATGCCTTAGATAATACATTGTGGAACACCCGTGGAAATTGACCTCGGAAATTGAGTGTTGTGGTAATTTGTCTCTCACCTCATAAACATAAGCAGTCGGGGAATATAGTAATTACTAGTTAATTATCAAGGAATGCCTGTTACTTTAGGTGGAATGACAGCCGAGATATGACTCAAAATATGTTAAAATCGGTATATAACCAGACAAAAAACACACACAAAAAAAAAACAATCAAACAAACAAACGTTTAACTTTATGTGCTCGTTCAAGCAAATCGTTATATATAATAGATAGATTTATTGATACTTTAAATACATTCTAAACCATTTTATATATTAAATAATCTGTACATGCAGATGAACCATGTATGAACTCTAATGAAAAATATGTTTTGTTCTGTTTATTTTGTACAAGAAATAATGAAAACAATAATGATTATAATTAAAAATTCAAATTGTACGTCTATGCACTAGCCAAGTTTCTTTGAATTTAAACCGTGAAGTATAGTAAGATAGAATACTACGAAATAAAAACATACATGCGATTCATATATAGTATTTACTTAAATATCTAAAACCTGTTCAAGGAGATGTTTTTGTGACAGTTTGCATGTGCAGTGCATATTTTAATGAACATAAATAAGTAACGCTCCAATAAATAAATCGGTCTGCACAAATTTAATTTGTCATCATAATAGTCAATTATTTCATTCAACAACAGAGTGCAACATGAAAAAAGTATTATTGTAGTTAACTAAGTGCAACAATTTTAAAATGAAACCAGGGTATATATTACAACTGATGCCCAAGTAGTTTAGAATAACATCAGATAACCTGAAGCAATAAAACATTATAATTAATAATTATGCTAAGTTCATCCAATGTTATTTTGGTTTGTTTTGATAACGGGTCTGGTGTCTTCTATGTCTTATTTACTATGTTTCAAATTTCAAACCTAAGGCTTTATAGTTGATCATATATGCTTATTAAAGGTTTATATATCTTTTAACCGGGGCATAATTAATTACTGTCCAAGACATTACAATATAACCATTACGATCGTGTCAGCACCGTTTATATATAAATAAGTCGGGACACAATTATTGGTTAACTTTCCCTACAGACTAAAGTCTACCCGTCGGGTTAAAGTATAAAACGAGTACTACTCGTACGGAAGCAATGATATTTCTGTGTCGTAACGCTTACCTTTTAATTTTTTTCCTTCATGTAAGCATATATTCGCCAAGGTAGCAAATTGTTCAGCTCTTTCAATGTATGCTTTGCGCAGCTGACCGTTCCTTCGCAGCCATTTTACGAGTGCATAAAACCTCGCTTGTAAACTCAAATATATAATACCCTGCGTTAGGCAAACACGTTTGCAAAAGGATTATGAATGTAAAACAGTCTCATGTATGCTATGAATAAAACAATTATGGGACCATAATATAAGTTAAGAATCTTTTATTTGTTTTGTTTAACACTTCAATAAAGTTAATGTAGTTAATATAGAGAACAAAATAATACATTTTAACTTAAACATCATGTCTATTACATGAAGTATTCTTGCAAACGAACAGTTAATAAATGTATTCATTGAATAGATAGAATGAGTGGACAATCGCCATGTCTTTATTATTTGATGAATTGTACAGAAAAACGGCCAATGTTGATACCCGTGAACAAGTTTTTTTGTTGTTGTTTTTCCGCCCAGATAAACATTTATCGGCACTCATATTTTTGTATTAAGCACGATATTCGTTTGCTGGTTTAAAATACATATCCTTTTTACTTAAGTAAAATAAATGCACAAGGTATATATAATGATGGTTTTGCAGTATAACATAACATTGAACTGAAAGATTTTGTTCTTTTCTTTTTTTTTAGAATGAGATAAATTATTTTATTTTAAACATCTTTTAAAAGTATTTATCTCTTCTGTAGGAAAGAAAATAAAAGTAATAGGCCGCTAGGCCGACATGATCACACATCTAGTTATTTAAGGGATTCGATATTGATTCGGTATGCTTGTCAGTCAAACTTATTGAAAAAAGGTATTGAAACCTGACGATCGTCTACATGTACCGAGTTAAGAGAAACAAAATGAAAATATAGTTTCAGTGGCCTAATCGTATATTCACCAGCAAACGGAATATTGAAGTTAAGTTGAGAAAGTAATAATGTTAAAAGCATGTATAAGATTTAAGTATTGTTAAAACAGCTACCTATCCTGTTAATTTTCAGTTTAAGAATTCCACTAACCAGTGTAACCATTATTCTATGATTTTTTTTTTTTTTTCAATTTTTTTAGCTCACATGTGCTAGCTCAGGGAAAGCTTTTAGGATCGTTGAATGCCCGTCGTCCGTCATTCGTCCACATTTGTTTGTGAACACTCAAGCGGTCACATTTTTGCCTCAATCGTCATCAAACTCTGTCAAGACGCTTGTCTAGGTAATTGCTCGGATGAGTTAGAACATGGGTGATCTCTGATAAAAAAACTAGGTCACAGGAGCTGAAAATAGAATTTTCTCTTGTGAACACTCTAGTGTCTACAGTCTTGACCCAAATATCCTGAAAATATGTCTGAAGTTTGTTTTGTTGATTTCTAGGTGCAAATCGAATATGTGTCACCTGGGGTCAAAATCTAGGTCATACAGCCCATATATGGAAAGACCCTGTTAACACTCTAATGGCTACTGTTTTGATCGAATCTCCTGAAAATTGGTCTGAACTTCTTTTTTTTATTTCTAGGTCAAATTCGGATATGTGTCTCCTGGTCATACAGCCCATGTATGGAAATACCTTGTTAGCACTCTAGAGGCTACTGTTTTGATCCAAATATCCTGAAATTTTTTTAGAAATGTTTTTGATGATTTCTAGATCATGTTTGAATATGAAATAGAAAAACCTTTTTAACACCCTAGGGGCTACTGTTCCAGTAGGAATAGCCTATCTGGAAATTGGTCGGAGAGGTTGTTAAGAAGATTTTTAGGTAAAGTTCGAATATGGGTCACTTTGGTTAAAAAACTAGGTCATACAGCCCAAGAATGGAAAAAAATTTGTTAACACTGTAGAAGCTGTTGTTTTCATCCAAATATCCTGGGAATGGATGAGAAAGATTATTTTTTTGATTTCTAGGACAATTTTGAATATGTTTATCGAACGTGAGTTTTAAATAAAGTAATCAAAACTGTTCTTTTACAAAATATTTAACCTTAACGCCGAAGAAAGACACTTTTTATTCTTGTTAAACAGAAAAGCTACAATTGTATGCTATTCATCTTTATTTTTTTAGCTTTATTTGCAATTTGAAACTGAAACCAACCAGAATACATGGCTTCTTCGTTACAAAACCAACGTACAACAACAGAAAGTAGACAAAGTTTGCAAGAACAGGCAAATAAATTATATAGAAACAGGAAAGTAAGTACAATTATTTAAATTCTTTGTAATATTGTTGGATTTTGTTTTTAATTGATAACTTCTGTATTGTTAATTTTATACTGGGCTTTTAATTGGACTTTCACGTTACGTGTAGAGGACTGAATACCGTCTACCGGTTCTATAGGGCGTGATAGATGCTGCATTTTTCCATATTCCGTCATGAGAACAGACTCATCTAACCAAGTCTGCAATTTTCATATATATAAAATGTCGATATAATTGAAATGTCGATTTTCTTGTTTCTGATGGGTCTTCTCTTTTCTAGATTTTCAGTAGACAGGGTTTCATCTATGATTGCAAGGATTAACAATAAGACCGTTTCAATGATTGCAAGTACAGTCACACACAAGTGATAATGTATTTAAGTCCTACTACACATTGACCGCACTTGATTTGATTTGATTAAGAAATTTGCAGTTTGTATATCATGAAAGAGGATGCAACGCTTGAAAAGGTTTCAAACCCCGTCTGTTGTTTTTCGTTTTCATTTACATGTAATATGCCGTTTACTCTCTTTTATTTTTTTAAAATGTTAACTGAAATGAAAATTTTACGATTTTTAATTCATATAACTTTGGCAGGGGCAAAAATATAAGTCTTGCCGTAAGAGTACAAACAACACAATAATTATTGTATTGTTGAATTCAACTTTTTGTATAAATTAGGTAATACTGAAATATATCTTATCGTCAACCTGTTATCTTTTAAATCTGACAAGTCAAATGTTCTCAGAAAGTGAGACCTTAATGTAAACAAACTACCTTGGATTATATCACACATATTGATCATAAACCTATTTCAATGATCACAACGATTTATTTCAAGCAAAAAACATATTTATCAAAAAAATGTCAATATATCAAAATAGATAAAAGCTATGTAAAATGAAAATAGAAAATTCAGGGAACAGAAAAACCCGTCTCACAATATTATATCTATCATAAATTATGTCATAAATGTTAGTGGAAGCTTATCATTTGATACCACATGTACCGTATTAGTTTTTATCCTGATTTCACATGGTATCAAATACCACGGAGCTCATACCCGTAAAGAAAGTATCATTCATTTGAAGTTAATAAGGTATATTACACTATATGATGAGTTTGTAAGTAAGGATTGTTTTTGAGTATTACAACAGTTCTTTAATGTTTGCCGATATTATGATCTTGCATATTTTTAGGATTATTGACAGTGTAACGCTTTAAGGTACACAAACCCTGCCGGTGTAGAGCTAGCTCACATTCCCTTTTGTTAACTTAACAACTTTAGTATTTGCATATCAGCATGCTCATTATGACGTTCTACCAACGTCGTTACAACATCTTAAATTAAGGGACCCGCTGATGTTTTTTATTGACGTGGCTGGATGGGAAATATTTTTTTTGAAATTAGTTTTCCATTTGATACATGTCTGGACGAATCAGTTGTGTGCAAATGCCTAATCTGTTTGTTCAGAAAAATCACTTAAATTGTGTAAAATAACTTTAAATGAAAAGTTTTAACTCAAGTCGGGCTACTAATCGTACAAAAATCGATTTTCAATTGAATTGCTATGCTAATGAGAATAATTACTTTATAGTTAATGCTTAATTACTGTTTTCTTAAATTGGTCACTTTAATTCAATAGGCTTTCCAGGATTTCATTCATGGAAAAATAGAGTTACATCCGGTGTGTGTTCGTATCATTAATACACCGCAATTTCATCGTCTCCGACACATCAAACAAATAGGGACCTGCTATTACGTGTACCCAACTGCCTGTCACAACCGATTTGAGCATTCTATAGGGTAAAATATTACATTCTATGTATTTAGTTCATCTGAGCACAAATGACTCAGATGTGACTTTTTCGTGATGGCAGTTGTGTCTGTCGTTTGTCGTAATCCACAATTTCATTAAACAACATCTCATGTAAAAGTACCCGGTGGATCTTTACATGAATGATACTTAGACAATCTTTTAAAAGTATTTAAAAATTGTAGAATTGGTTTTAGTTTGATACATAAGAAGGTTGCAGAATTTATGAAATGCGGTCTATAAAAATCCCTCTTGTCCTGAACAACAATTCCTGGAGCTTAAATACATGGCATGAAATATCTCTAGGGGGCCTCTACTAAAATTATTCAAATAGCCATTGCATGGGTGTAAATTAGTGCCTCAAAGGCTAACGTTTCGATATTTGGTATGATATTGAGTAATAAATCACTGACTTTCCTTAATAAACTATGACTTAAATTCCAATGACTGACTTCCATTAGCAACCCGTGATTTATATAGTAACCATAGACTTTAAATTTTTGCAATAACAACCTGTGGCTTTTATATTTTATATGCTTACTATTCAGAGGCACTTTCTTTTCACCCAGATTTTGGACTAAAACCTGCCATTTTGTTCCTTGTCATAGGCACCCTTTATAGTGTGATATGCGATTAAAGGATAATCATGGTCCTGTTGTTTCCCTTTGGTCTTGTATATCGATCATATGCCTGGCCCAGTGATATCTTTACGGCACACTAATTTTGTCTCTAAGATCCCACAAGGTAAGCAATTTCTTAAATGTTGGCATTTTTGACAGCCTGTTGTGTATCTATATTATAATGATATTGTGAAAATATTTTTACGTTAAATAAAACACATTTTATAACAATCTTTGAATGAACATTGCATCATAGAACTTAAAAGTTACATGCAGTTATAGCGGAAACTCCTCAGAGTGGTCCTTTGTAGAACAATTACATATTTAAAACGGTAATTATAGAGAAGGACTTCGTTATTATTTAAACCGTTTTTGAACAGCACCTCTAGGCAGCACACACACTTTTTGTCTCTTACAAATGTTTATGCACTTTAGATGTTGTGCTTTAGCTATCTAAACACATGTTCGTTGCTTTGTTTAATCAGTTTGTTTTTTATGGCAGTGTATGTTACCTCGCTGGAAAACTGGTCCGAAAACTCAAAGAACGACAGCCAGACGAAAATATAACAGACGTAGACATTTTATGCGTAGAAATCGCCGGAATCTGTCATGATTTAGGTAGGCAATGCCAGTTCAAGATACGTCGTTGAACGCCACTCTTGCTTGTTGATCCTGTTTTCAATATAATTTGACATATTAGAGTCGCTCTACAAGTCAGTTCCAACCGTACAAGTAAAGGCTACACGGACATGCGGAATGTGAATGATTAACATGACTAGTGAATTACCCTTAGTTGTCGTGAATATCCCTCCAACATTCAAATAGGTTATGCGCTTGAAATGTCTTTTCTGCATTAACGATTGACCAGTTCAATGAAGCCAGCCAAAAGAAAAAAGTGACACATTTTAAGCTAGCTGTAATATTAACGTGTCGGACTAAAAACGTTATTTCTGCACATCTTCCCACCAAATACCTATTACATCCATGACGAAACCCACAAAACATAGAACATACAAATAATTACTTTTTACGCATTTGGCCATTAACTTTGACATTGTCTTTGGCATGTCAATAAGAAAACCATTTGATGTTTGTTTCATAAAATCAATCCAGAAGTTTACAAGTCACAGAGGGAACACATCTGTTGACATTTAACTGTACTTTTGATTTTTAATATTTCATTTGGCATTGAACTTAAGTGATTGCAAATTCTGCAACTGCGATTTATGATATGAGCACCCGGCACAAGGATGATTTACACGTCTCAATAGTTTCAAAACATTAAGACCGAACACAATTCCTTGATAAATATTAAACGATAAGCTGTAAGACTGTTAACAAATTGACTTTGAAATCGTGGTTTGCCATCTTAAACGTATTTAAGTTTTGCTCCTTGTCTTAATGATGAATTTAAAATCAGTCTCATTAAACAGATACATGTTTTAAAGAGAACTACTGTAATGTTTTTACAATAACCTAATTAGGTAAGTCAATTAGTCTACTTTTGATCTCATTACTAAATCTTTATTATTGTTTCCATAAACTGACAGAAGCACCTACCCCTTCAAATGTATGCTTGTATGTACGGATGCATGGACCGTCGATCAGCTTCATAACATAATATAGCTTATGATGCCAATAGAAAGGATTTTTAAAAATTTGATAATTTAATGATGAATCATCAAAGGTAAAATCATTTTCAGATTTTAACATTTGAAAGTAGTTTAGTAATTTTGGAAACATTTAGAGTGGTTTAATTATGAATGTTTCCTCTAACTCTTATTTACCAGCATTTTTAAACAAATTTTTTAACGATTTCAGATTGTTGCAAATGATAGAAACGGTGTTGATGTTGATAAATGGGATTATCTGGCACGTGACAGTCATATACTTGGATTGAATATGACGCTAGATTACGAGAGATGCTTTACTAGTGCTCGAGTTATTAAAAGCAATGGAGAAAATGGGGGTAATGGAACAAATGGTGAACATGCTATTGTTCCTCGGAAGCAAATTTGCTATAGAGAAAAAGTAAATTCTTTATCATTAAAACATCATAAAAACAAAATAATGCATTGTTTAATCATATAAAACTGAAATGGGTGTACAAACATTAATTATGAAAACGACAATGTCACACGTACATGTCAAACTATTGCTTAACCTAGCCTTCATCAACACCGCTGTTGGTTCGAATTTCGTCAACGACGTTTAATTCGTTCATGTGAGGAACTTTTATAGACAGCTTAAGTAAAATCGGTGGCTTTGAATCCCGTTCCGGTCTGAAATAATGCACGAAGGTGAAAATGGGCTCCAGCAGTAAAATGAAAACCAAATGACCTAGTTTTTCCTTTCAAAACTTTATAAGCGTATTCTTTCCACATTTTATCACTTATTTGATGACATTACCCTTCCTGTCACATTTTAAAATTTGGGACGCTGACGACCTTTAGCTACACATGACATGGTGTCGATGTGTTTTAAACCTAAATTAATAAACTGTCGATTCATAAAGGTAAAATATCTTTCTACTCCGCTGGCCTCATGGTATTCTGTAAATGTTTTATATCAAAACTGATGCATGCATATTATATTGTTTATATTTCAGGACGCTTTAGACTTATATGACATGTTTTACGCAAGACTGAACTTACACAGACGGGCTTATCAGCACAAGACGCATACAGTTATTGGTCTTATGTAAGCTTATAAAATCTGAACCATGACTTTACTTCTTGATAAATTTGCATTTTGATGTTTTCGAAAAACTTTCACATGCAAATGTTTACAATAGATAAATTACACTTTATTAGTGATAATATTAGTGGGTGATGCAAATGAGCTAAGTACAAAAGAATATAAATCTAGAAGTAATAGGTAACATTTCTCATTTCAGGATTTCCGATGCCTTGATAGCAGCAAATGATTCTATATTAATTGGAGGGAAAAAGTAAGCTAATATTATACCTATGATAGTTTCGAATCACTTATTTAGTCTAGATAAGAATATAAAGAAACCACATAAAGATAAATCACTAAGATGCACTAAATTTACTTTAAGTACATTGTTATGGTAATCTTTACGTCCACCTAATAAAGTATAGTTGTGTATATTAACATGTCATATGAAATAATAGATTGTTCAACAAATGATATCTTTTTTTTGGAAGCAAATACACGTATACATTATATTCTTACTAGCGTTTTATTCCTTGCGGTCCGAAGACCGCAGGGTATTGGTACGCGTTTTACTTTTGAGGCATGGAGGAGCACGTGACCAGTTTTCGGTGCATGGAGGAGCATGTGATCTGTAAACCGTACACGATTGGTTAATTGACCTTTTCGATAACCTGGCTAAATACCGTTTGTCGTTACTTTACGGAATTACCTCGAAGGAATTAGTCAGATTTAAACCTAATTAAGAACAAAAACCTATTACGTGATATTTCTAATTTTCTATAATTATTTTACCGTTTAAGGTGGAAAAACTTGAATGATTTATTTGAAAATTATCATTGTTTCTTTAATATATGTATCTCAAATTTTACAAACAATAAATTGTTTATAATGAAAATCTACAAAATTAAAATATTCTTAGTGGCATCTGCCATAATAAATAGAGATATTTTCTGCGTAAACTTGTGTGTTTACTTTATTTTTTTTTTGCTTTTAATTATTCATAATATGGTAGGCCTATTTAATCATTTTCTTAAAAAGAAATAATTGTTTTATGTTCGACCTTCTCCGGTCATCAACGGTCACCAGTTTTGAAAGACCTTCTATATTGATCGATTATTGTCAACTATATTCCCGATATAAACGTTTATTTATTCCCCTCTGCCAAAACGGTGTTGAAAATAGTTAAATGAAATATCTTTATATATGAAAAATGTTCCCCGCAGGAAACCATTTTTACTTGTTACTCAGTTAGTTTGCTATCGTTGATTTAGAATTACAGAGACAGTGGACGACATGAAGGCATTCACACTTTTGACAGACGATGTCCTCCAGTTGATTATCCATAAAAAGAAGGAAGAAGACTCAAGAGGCAAAGACAACCCACAACTTGACAGAGCATATCAACTGATACAAGATATCATGAACAGAAGACTGTATAAATGTGTTTCCCAAACACATTGTAAGGTAAACAAGTATATGTTTACTAAAGGTATGCATTTTTGTTCAGCTATGTAATGCTAGCGTATTTATTATATGCTGTTACGTGCTATTGCTCACCTTTATGATGAATATTACAAGTATGTTGAAAAAAAGCTATCCGTTTTTCGTTTAAAGGTAAGCTAACATGGCATTTGTATTTTCGGTTTAACGAAATAAACTGGCACTTGCTTGATAATTAGCCCCGTTATAATTCTACAGGTTACCCTTTTTTCTACAAAATATTGCCTTTACTTCAAGCAATAAATGGCCTTATCGATTGTTTTGTGGGCCCTTTGGCTGAACAAAAATTAGTGAAAGTGATTATTCTGGAAAGAAATGGCGTGGACCAAAGACATAAAAATTTGTACCTAAGTTACTGGTCCATACACACATAATTGATAAATAAAACTTGACAAAACCTTTCCAAGCTCTTCATGCCAAAAACACCTCCTTGGAGTTTCTTTTAAAAATGTAGTACGAATTCTTCTATCCCCTTTTATGAATATAAGCTTCATCGACACAACAAGTACCATTCCCATGTATGTACAGCGGTTACCTTTACAGTTTCTTTTGTCGATTATAGGATAAAAATCTAACAAAAGCAGACGTATTAGATGGACTGAAAAAATGTTTGAAAGACAAAAGTGTTCCAGAAAATTTTATAATCGTTAACGTAAGTAAGGACAAAAATAATATAATATCTATTTAAAAATTCAGATCTGTAGGGAAAAAATATTACTGAAACAATATCCAAAGGTTATTTTATATATTTTTCAGTAAAAGAAAAATTAATATCAAGAAAAGGTTCTTGTCATTACAGTTATAATGACAATGTCATTTTTAAAGATATACCGCTATGTTTTAAGGACGACATTTAATTGTGTTATAGTCTATCTTATCAGATTTGTTTGGTTACCATACCTGACAGTCCGTACAGTCAAAAGGCGGTTAAAATACTAGACACAATAAGTTTCTATTAAACATTATTTTTAAATTTGTAAAACAATTAATATAGCAAAAAATGTAATGAAGTACCGCATGTTCGCCTAAGACGGGCACAATGTAAAGACTCTTACAGATATAATTTGATCAAAACGCATTTCTAGGCGGTATAGTGTGTAATTATGTTTTTATAAACTAATGAAATCCATTTATTCATATTTACAAACACGATCAGCTTCATCAATATATAATGCTGCAAATCTTAAACGCATCGCTTCAATGTTTTAGATTGTGAAATTTAACTACGGTATGAAAAATAGAAATCCTTTGGATAAAGTACGATTTTACAAGAAAGACAAATTGGATACAGCTTTCAAATTAAAAAAGGAACAGGTACTTTAAAAGTTTCTTGACTTGTATATCATTATGCATAAATTAACCGACTAAATAACTTAAACTGTAAATTCTTAAACTAGTTATCAAGTTATGATATTCATAAGTTGTTTTGACTGAGATTGTTTTCATTCAGTTGATTATGATATCTGAAAGTGAGTCACACCAGTAACCCTTGTTCGTCTTCTTTAAAAGGCTCGTTTGTGTATGAAACCTTCTTCTCTAATGTCTTCTAATAAGATCTTTTCCCAGATGCATTCCTATCGCCACGTAGTAAACATTAATGATTGAAAGAGAACATCGGAATGTAAAGTACATGTATTACAAACAGTGTTGAGTATTTGTGAATATATTTAACAGGTTTCGTATGTTCTTCCCGACACTTTTGAGGAGAGTATTATACGTATCTATTGTAATATGCAGAACGACTCTGAAAAAGAAATCGTGTCTAAAGTGACTGAAGCGTTTGGAGAGTGGTGTAAGGACAATCAATGTACCGATCCAGAGGTAATTTATGCCCTACAATGAATGGAATCAAAGACATACATTTAATGATGGCACATAGCATTAACATACAAGGTCATGTACATCCTCTCCGCGAGAAGCAAAAATTCATTTTTGTCCAAATCATATTTGAATAAACATACAATGTATCCACCTTTCAAAGTGTTTTTTTGCAGAATGTCTTAATAAAAGTTTAACACTATTTAATTTTGTAGATAAAATACAGAAAATAAAAGGACAAATATGCCTTAAAAATGCTTTTAACTTTATAACTCAAATGTTTTATTGTTTTTTGTTGTTTTTTGTGTGTATGTGTACTCTTATCGTTTCCAAAATAGTTAAAAATACCCATTGGCCATTTAGCTGAATCATCTTTTTGTCAATGAATACATGTAAAGTGACTTAGTATTTTGTAATTCAAAATACTACTTTCTTCAGGTAACATGCATTTTACATGATTTACAACAATTATTCAAGTGGATTATTCAAACAAATACATTTAATTGTGTCATCAGTCATCAAATTATGGATGTGTTATCTTTTGTTATCTCTTTCGCTTGCCCGATAGCCTGAATAAGTTAAATCAATATATAAATATTTTATTTTGCCTTTGAAAATCTGCCAGTCTTATTGATATTATTACATTATCGTACATTTTCTTCGCATCAAAACGTCTTTTAAAGTAATCCGTTACACGACTGTAACTACTAATGAAAATAGATTGCAAGAGAATATTTTGATAGAGTGAAATAAATATTTGATAGTTTGCATTTTTTTATTCTTAATTCGGCAAACAATACGACATATGAGGTAAAATAAAAATAAATGACGATATTGTAACAAAATTTGAAAGTTTTAATGCTAGAAATGAATTTGACAAAGAATAGATAATAAAACGAAATGTTACACTTTGTAGGGCAAATATCATCAAACAAGACCGAAAACAAAAGCGTCAAACGAACCGATAGGCTCAAACACACAGGGACATTCAGATGAACCTGTACCTAAACCCTTACCCGAACCTGCATCAGGTCAATCAAGTCTAGTGCAGCCAATAGTTTATGACGGAGAAGGGATAGATGTACGATCACAAACAACAGACCAGTAAGATACTGATACATGTCAAAGTTTGATGGATAAACCCTCAACAGCTTTTATACAATTTCCGGTATTTGATATAGAAACGTTCGTTTGTACGATATTTCATTGTAGTATATATTCATCATCTATACTATCTAAGATACAATGGAATACATTATCATTTCAAACATTATTTTCTAATCATGATTTGTAAAACAATTTGTAGCCTCATAACACTTGAGTCTATGACGTTTTCTTATTGTAATGATAAAGACACAAACACAAAAAGTAAATGGTTCGTAAAAAAGTGATCAGTTGACAAAATTTAGTTTCATTTATTATCTATCTCTCTTAAAAGCAGTAAAAATGTTTTTTGTTTCGTTTTGATATTTTTGTTGATGTTGTTGTTCTTTTTTATTATACACGTATATTCTGGCATTTTATTCACTTATATATAAATTAGAATATAAATTGAGTGTTCATGCACTTTTTCATGCATTAAAATCCGCAGAAAATCGAAAAATTTAGTAAATTCGAGGGCTTCCGAAGATGTAAATGCGTAAAAAAAGACGAATTAACCTGCGTTTTAACCGTTGTTTTGTCGGTTTCGTTTTATTTTAGTTTAAGATTTCATCATGCTTTCCATTTTCAATTACCATGTTATTTGGCAGTTATGTTTTGATACTTTTTTACACTACCGGGACAGCTTGTGAAAGTAACAATATGCCTATCCAAATGTTTATAGTTAGTGAACAGGTGAAAGTCAAATTAAGTTTAACTTTTAGTTTAAACATATTTATTTCCCGAATATTTACATGATATACATAATACAATACAATCAGAATACAAATATATAATATATTCAAAGAAAAGGATGAGAACGAAAGACTAAGTCTTATAAAATTCTTCTCCTTTTAGTGTAACTTTATAATGAGTCGATTTTATAATATTTTGTACAATTATCAAAAAAGTGGAATGTAAATATTTGTGACGAAGTAAACGTTATATTTATAAGTAATCTTTAGGATAACAATTAGAAATTATAATAACGAAAAAAGAAGAGAGGAAAGCAAATAATACAATAGGAAGAAAAAAGAAAGAAAGAGAAAAGAAAGATTGCTTCACTGATTCACTTTAAGTTCAGAGAAATCGCTTTGATTCTGAGATAAAAGTATGAACATGTTTAAAGATATTGGCATTATCAGTATCTGAGATGTCCGGGTTGCGAAAAAGTAGGGTGTTGAGGGTAATATCGAAATTATTTAGATTTCCCAATAATTTTTCTCTACATGTACGAAAGCGATTGCATTCAAAGAAGTAATGAAAGTTAGTTTTCATTTGACCACACTCACATAATGGCGATGGTGATATATTTTTAAGAAACAAATGATAATTTAGGGAGCTACATTTTGTGCGTAACCTGGTGTGAAGAATTTGAAGTTTTCTTTCACCAAAATAAAAGTATTTTGATGTAGTTTTCTTATCACGTGATAGATATTTTTTAAACATTGAAAGGGTTGGTAAATTCCTTATGTTAAGGGGCAAGTTGTTCCATTCACGAAATGAAGATGGGAAAAAAGAATTAAAGTATAAAGATGTCCTTGCTGAAATACCAATAGTGTCGTTTGAATTTCTAAGGTTGTAACGAGTGTTTGTTTGATACGGTATTGGTTCTGACAAGTATTCTGGTGCAATGCCATGTTTGATTTTATAGAATAATGTTAATCTATGTTTATAACGTCTTTTTTCTAATATTTCCCAATTAACTTCATTATTTAAGTTTTCAATTGAAACTAGTCTTGTTGCACCATACACTATTCTAGCACATTCATTTTGTATTTTATCTAAGAGGTCAAGTTCATACTGAATTGCCATACCACATCCGCATATTCGAGGATTGGTCGGATAAACGATATATAAATAATTTCAAGAGATTTACGGTCTAACATGAATTTCAGTTTTCTCATTATGTTCACCCGTTTCCATGCTTTTTCATTAATATATTCTATATGTGAATGCCACAGGCAATTGTGAGACAAAATAATCCTAAGTGTTTATGATCTTTTACTTCAGGTATAGTTTGATTAAGCATTTGAAGTGGTTGGTGATATGAATTTCTTTTTCTAGAGACAATAAGGGATTCTGATTTAGACGGATTGAAAGTTACAAGCCATTTTTCTGCGCATGAAGCTATTATTTCAATATCTGATTGTAATTGTTGTGCTGCAGTTTGTGGGTTTTCAATAACAAGATAGAGACTGGTATCATCAGCAAAAAGATTAACATTGGATTGAAGATCTTGGACTATGTCATTTATGTAGATGAGAAAAAGTAAAGGACCAAGGATCGAACCTTGTGGAACACCAGCTGAGAGAACACCCCAAGAAGATTTGGCATTTCTTAGAACAACACACTGGCGTCTGCAGCTTAAATAATCCTGAAACCATTCAAAGATTTTTCCAGATACACCATAATATTTTAATTTACAGAGAATGCCTTTGTGCCAGACTTTATCGAATGCCTTGCTTATGTCGAAGAATATAACTCGAGCTTCGAGACCGTCATCAAGTGCTTTGCAAAGTATGTCATAAATATAAACAAGTTGATTTACAGTTGAATCCCCGGGTATAAACCCAGATTGCACAGGCGTAAGAATTCTATTCGCGTTCAAATGATTAAATAAATGCTTAAAGATCAGTCGTTCAAAAACTTTTTCCATAGTGTTGAGCAGTGAAATTGGTCTATAATTAGAAGGGAGAGATGCATCACCTTTTTTTAAGATAGCAGTAACATGGGCTTCCTTCCAAGAGGCTGGTACTTTACAGCAAGATAGAGACTGATTAAACAGATTAGTTAAAGGAATAGAGAGTTCTTTTCCGGCTTCACGCAAAATTTTATTACTAATACCATCTGGTCCAGATGCTTTGTCGACTTTAAGAGATTTAAGAATATCTTCAGTTTCAGATGCAGTTAGTAAAAGATCGTTAATAACAGTGGACGTTGTTTGTGGACCTAGGTCAGGAACATTTGAGTCAGAATTATCAATATAGGTTTGATGTAAGAAATACTCGTTCAATAGGTTTGCCTTTTGGTCTTCAGAGAATACAATTTCCTGGGTGTTTTGATTTTGTAATGGGGGAATTGACGTTGTCTGTGTAGGTGAGATAAAAGATTTTAATATTTTCCACCAGTCTTATGAAGATAACGATTCCTGTTTTAGTTTGTCCGATAATTTAGAGTAATAAATAGCTTTCGCCTCTTTAATCTGAGATACTATTTGATTTCTTAATTGTTTAAATTTCACCCAGTGCATATTGGATTGAGTCAATTTAGCTTTTCTGTACAATCGTTTACGTCTACGAATATTTGACCTGATAGTATTTGTTATCCATGGGGCATCTAGAGGTCTTACATATATATTCTTA